TGCTGCGTTAGAACCCATTGCTGAGGTCTTCGGGAGAGAACTAGAGGGAGCGAGTCTCACCCCTTGGGGGTGGACTGGTTCCCCCACCTGCCGATCTCCTTGACTCTCCCCTCCTCTTTGAACTACTCTGCTGGCTCGTTGTGTGCAAGTCGGGGGGGAAAAACATGGTTGCATAGGGTATTCGGGGCGGGGGTTGGAGGTGGGACTGGTGAAATGGTTTGGCTTTGAAATGAATAGGGGGAGATGGCTTGTTGGAAGGAGGATGAATAAAAGCGGGGCAACGCTTCACCCGCGCGACTAGTGTTGCATTTATTCAAGCGAGTGGGGACAGGATTCTTTGTCCTTTCCTCGCACTGTTTCTTATCCAGGTTGGATCACGTTTCTGTTGCTTTTCTCATCAGATTTTGATCACTTCCTCTTCCCCCTAAAGTCCTCTCTGAGTAGCTAGCTCCCACCTGAGTTTATTTATATTCTTTTTCACATGAATTATTTGTAGCAATGCCATCCGCTTCCCTGCCTTGTTGTTCCTATTTTATATTTCTGAAATCCCCTCCTCCTCCTCCTCCTCCTCCTCCTCCTCCTCCTCTCCATTCTCTTTAGTCGGGCATATTTTAAAACCAATCTCTACTTACCTCTGTGAAGCAATCAAAATATGTTCCTTTTTTGATGAGAGATTTTGTTTTTGAAAGCCAAGTCTATAAACGTTTTTCCCCCCTTGTTTGTTTAAAATTCCTGTGGGGAATTTTATATCTGCAGTTTAAACCCCTCCCCAAATATGGTTTGGGAAGGAAGGGGAGGGAGACATTTTTCAGGCTGTTTTTGGTGGGTGTTTTGATCCTTGCAATCTTGGCTAAATAACTTTGGTCAGAGCAACGAAAAGCTGTAAAGTGCTGGAGAGAGTCCGCACAAGCATTCCCCTCAAAGGAGTAATTAATAATAATAATTTTAGCTCGCATGCAAATGATAGGTGAATGCGTTTGAGGGAAAAGAGGTGTTCCGCATTCTGCTTGGAAAGTTGTGCAATAGACGAAACATTTCAGTGATTTTTTGAAATAAAAAAACCTCCTGAATATGGTCCTGAAACAAACAAAATGGGGTGGAGGTTGTAAAGGAAGATTTCGATTTTTGGGGGGTGGGTGGGAGATGTTCTTCGCCAGACTAAGTGCAAGATGCTTGTGACTAAAGCTACTCCAAGTGCTTTTTCTGTTAAAGGTTTGGCAGTGTGCGTTTGCTGGTAAATTATTTTTTAAGTACTGTCCTTTCCCTCTTCCTTCTGTTTAAACGGCGCCTCTCTTTCCTATTCATCAGGACTCATCCTCACGAGTACATTTTAAAAAAAAGAGAGAGAACCGACGGGCCAGGCCTGATTCACGAGTCGCCCCTCGACCTGAAGGGCCTCCCACTTTAGCGAACGAGGTTGCGGGAGGCGCCTCCCTCCCTCCGGGTTCGACTGGGACTGCGGGCGCGGCTTTCAGTGCACACCGATCCGCTTTTACCGTCTTTTGGAAATGGATTTCTAAACTCCAAAACTCTAAGCCGGGAGCTGGAAGGGGGGCGGGGGGGACGGTGGTTAAAAGTCTCCGCCCTGCTGTAAAACCGGCGGTGTGTTTTGTTAGGGGGTAGAAAAATCTGGGTTTGCAGCCCGCGCGGGTTCGGGTTCGGGTTCGGCTGCGGAAGACGCCGCCGGGTTCGCTCGGGAATGAAGCGCCCGCCGCGTGGTTTCTTCTGGGGAGCGGAGCTGCTGCGCGGCCCGGCCGCTGGCAGCGGCAGACTCCCGTTTCTAGCTGCCTTCTTATCGCTGCGGGCTGGAGAAGCGGCGCGACGGCTTCTTCGCTCGCTCGAGAGGAGGGAAGAGTCGGCGCTTCACAGCCGAGAGAGGCCACCCGGTCGCCAGGCCTGTGGCTTTTTTGTGGGGAGCGGAGGAAGGAGATAGCTTTCTCTTCCCCCTAAAAAGTCCCCTTCCCAGCTTTGCTTTCCTTTCCTTTCTTTCTTTCCTGCCTGCTTTCTTGTTTCCTTCCTTCCTTCCTTCCTTCCTTCCTTCCTTCCTTCCTTCCTTCCTTCCT